AAGGTGGCCCCACGCGAGGGCAGTTCTGGGGACGAGTGGGGGAGGGCCGGGGTGGGCTCACCCGGACGTGTTCTTGTGGACGCCGTTCCCCTGTGCTGTCCTGTCCCTTCCTTCTCTCTCTCTCCTTTTCCTTCAGCAGAAAGGGACAACTACCTTTAAAAAAAACACTTTATTGATTGATTTTAGAGAGAGGGAGGAAAGGAGAGAAACATCAACCCGCTGTTCCATTTATGGATGCGCTCGTTGGCTGCTTCCTGTGTGCCCCTGACCAACTGGGAATCGAACCCACAATCTCCGCGTATTGGGAGGACTCTTCAACCAACTGAACTGCCCAGCCAGGACAAGAGGCAGCGGGCCTGTGACTCATCCCCACTGGCAGGGGGGCTACGCACAAGGCAGGAGGGGCGGAGGGGACGCAGGGGGCTGGATCGCACGCTGGCTGATTGAGCAGGCTCAGCCCCGGGTGGAGACTCGGGCAGAGCGGGTCCGTACTTCCTCCCCTCACCGCTACGCTCTGTCAAAATCCGCGCTCTGGCCCCTACTGACGTCTCAGGCAGACCCCGCCGTGGTCTGCTCCCTTCTAGTTGTTAGAACTCCTCGTAGTTGTTTCAAAACAGATTTATTTTTAGAGAGGGGAAGGGAGGGAGGGAGGGAGAGAGAAATATCAATGTGTGGTTGCCTCTCCCACGTCCCCCACTGGGGACCTGGCCCACAACCCAGGCACGTGCCCTGACTGGGAATCGAACCTGCGATCCTTTGGTTCACAGGCCGGCCCTCAATCCACTGAGCCACACCAGCCAGGTCAGAACTCCTGATCATTTTAAACCTCTGCCTCGCGCTCCATTCAAAGTTCACGGGTCCTCGGCGCTCCCACTCCAGCCCGGCTGTGGCTCCGACACGGTGGGGAGGGCTCGCCGCCCACCGCCCTCTGACCTCATCCGGCTCTGTCTGCCCTGGGCACCTGGGCCAAAGGAGCCACAGGCAACACATAAATGAACGGGCTGGGCAGGGCGAAGGCGGAGATGAGGGTTGCAACACAAGGTCCGCCTGCAAAGCCTAAAATAGTCACCATCTGGCGCGTTAAAGAAGAAACCCGCCAGGCCCCGCCAGTGTTTCTTATCCTCACTCCCAGCTCTGCGGGGCAGCTTGGGTGACCTTCGGGGTCAGTTGGGCTCCGCCTGCACAGCTCTGGGACCAGCAGCTGCCACCATGGACATGTTCTTCTCATGGCCGACGACGAGCAAGCAGGCAGAGATGGCCACTCTGAAGGCCAGGCCCACGGCCACGTTCACACCCCACGTGCTCCGCCCCTTCACGCAGGGGGGGCTGCAACATCACACCCTCGGGGGCAACCACTTCTGGTTCCGACACGAGGAATGAGCACAGGACTGGCGGCAGCGGTCCCATGGAGCACGGTGGGGCACCCAGGGTTCGCAGTCAGGGCCGTCTACATGCCTGTCCCTCTTCTGCACTGGCTCCTGTCCTGGGCAAGCTGTTCTGGGTGCAATAAAGGAAAAAATAATGGGAAAACCACGGGGAAAAAACAAAGAACGATTTTCCCATCATCCTCTACCTGCAAGGGCTGCTGCTGAGCCCTGGGCACCGCCCAGCAGCTCAGCATCTCTGGGAACCAAAATCACCAGAGACCTGCACACAGTGGCAGGACAGCTCCTGACGACCCTGGCCAGCGTCAGCAGGTGCTCAGGAGAGTGACGTGCCCCAGGAACGCGCTCGTCCATGACGGAATGCACACCGACTAGACGCTGAGACTTTCCGGAGACCGTCATTTCTATTGCCCAGCGGGCGTTCTTGCAGCAGGCGTCGTTCCGACGCAGAATATAAATCAGTCATGCAAGCCCTCGCCAATGAGAAGGGGGAGGTGGGAGCAGAAGGCCTCATGACTACCCCTCTGCCACTCTTTCAGGAACTCGGGGTGGCATGGACCCCCTGCGCAGTCCAGGGGCGGTGAACCGTGGTGCCCAGGGGTGTCTACTGTGCTTAGTGACAGGCGGGAGCAGCGTGGGACAGGATGATGAATAAGTGCCCAGGAGTCTCTGCGGCTCCCCACACCTCCTGCCACCCCAGACCGAGTCTGTGTGTCGTGATGGAGTTGGACGCTCGCCAAGAGATCCACGGGAGGGAGAAAGAATTTATAAAACACACGCAAGCTATTCATTCGGTCACCGCTGTTTTGAAAGGAAGACTCGAGAAGAAATGTAGCGAATAATACAGCGACTCTGACGTGTTGTAGAACGTGGTGACATGGGGTACATTTCCTTTTCAAGCTCCACTGAAAATCAAAGAAGCTACAAAACAGGGAGTGCAGGGGGCCTTTGAATAACCACACGTAGGCAACATTGGTTTTGATGAGTTGTCTTCTGGTTCAACCCCTGTGATGATTACTGTCCTTCGGAGTGGTGTTCCAAAGGCACATGCATCTAGGCAGGTGTCTGTACTCACCCTGTGGAGGAATAAAACCACCATTCATTGAGAGCTCGCTTGCATTGGGCACAGAATGTTCTACCGGCAGAATCCCAGGTAATCCTGCTTGGGACGTGGGCGTGCCTGTGCCCACGCGAGGAAGTGAAGACCAAGACGGGAAGGTTCCGTGCCTGCCCGGCAGCCCAGCTCCCAAGTCCCAGAGCCGAGGCCGAACTTGGATGTGTGCAAGTGCAGACCAGTGCCTGTCCCTCATTTGTCTTTCCTCCGAGTGGACGTAATACAGGCGGTTCACGTCGCTGCAAAATATTTGTGCGAGATTAAAATGTCGTCCTCCCAACTAGGAGCCCCCTTCAGCCCTGACTGCCCCCAAATACCAAACCCTTGAGGACATCAGAGCCAGCCCAAACCAGCCCGATGCATCCTGCTTTCTCCATTTCTGTGATGAGGCTCACGGGGCGAGACCCAGCCTTCGGGGCCCAAAGCCACCGGTCCTCCCACTGTGTCCCCGCCACAGTTTATTATGACCATTCTCAGATATACAGCGAAGTTGAGAAAATTGCATAGTGAATGCTCATATCTCTACCTCGTAGATTCTACCGTTAACAATTCCTCCTCTTGCTTCATCTGTCCATCTGCCCACCTGCCTCCCTCCCTCCACCCACGCTTCCTATTTTTGATGCATTTCTGAGTACATCGCTGTTGTTGGTGCACTTCACCTAAACAACTCAGTGTGGCTGCCATTAGCTAGAGGAGCAAAGGGGTGACATGTGCTCAGCTCCGTGCCCCTCGTTTCTCGGCCTCTAGGGTTCTCCCCTCCAGCCGAGCACAGAGCCCGACACCTGGCCAGCCAGGTGGCAAAGGGAATCTCTCTCCCCAAGAATCAGGGTGCTGGGCTTGGCTAGCCCCCAGGTCCCAGATGCACTTTCCACGGCAGCAGCCCCAGCCCCAGGTGGCCGCTGGGCACTGGAGTGGGGCTGGTGCAAACTGGGACGACCCTAAATGTAAAATACACACAGGATTTCAAAGACTCGGTAAAAAAATAATTAAAATCACTCACTAGTGATTTTATACGATTACATATTGAAACGATGGTATTTTTGATACATTGGGTTAAATAACATATGTTATTAAAATTCACGTCCTGTTCGTTTCTTCTTTCTGCTTCTAGTGGGGCTACTAGAAAACCTAAAAGCACATACGTGGCTCGAGTTGCCTCTCCACCGGACAGGGCTGCTCTGAATAGGATCAGAGCCAGTCCAGCCGGAAGCCACAGGGCCAAGGCAGAGCTGGTGGGGTCGTGGGAGCCCACCGTTGACTTGTCTCTGCTGGATAAAGCAGTAACTAGCTTACCAAGCCACCTCCCTGAGAGGCGGCACTTCTGGTGTGGCTTCATGTGCTGTGCACACTCATCCTCACCTAATTCTCACCCCAGAGGGAGAATGTAAACAAACCTGGGGCAGGTGAGCAACCACACACCTGGGCACATCCTGAGACCTGGGTCCACGGGAAGGAGCCTGATTCAGCCCCCAGGTGAAACATTTTATGGGCGGCAGAGGGTTCTGGCTTCAGCCCTTCAACATTTGGATAAAGCTGGGATGGTGACTGCCCCTGCTGTCTTGCAGATGGGATATCTGAGGGCCAGAGAAGGGGAGTGCCGAGTTGCCAGGCCGCAGAGGCAGAATCAGACCCGGAGTGGATGTTCTCAACCCCACAGCACACCAGCCAAGCCCCTCTGCATGAAGAAGTGGCTGGGGGTCAAGGAAGGTTCTGGCACGACGTGATGAATAGCGTGAGGGGCAGGGTTGGGCACTCTGAGTCCCCTTGACTTGGGAACCGGGGGTGTGTCATAGGGAGTGGGGGGGGCCTGCGGCCAACGGAAGAGTGCGGGCCCTGCCTGAAGGCAGAATGCGAGCCTGCCAGTCTGTGGCTGCCACTGTGGAAAGTAGAGGGCTTTCCACAGGTGAGAGTGTTTAAGCCACAGAGGGTGGCCATCAGAAAACTTCTAAGATTCTGACATTTCCTCAGCTCCAGCAAATTCTTCCTCCCGTGCGCCATTGGACCCAAAGTAGCAACGCTTCTGGTGGCTTCCTCTGCCCACTGAACCACTGAACTGCAGGGAATTTATCACGTGCTCAACTTCTGGGAGAAGAAGATTTCCAGCAGATGTCCCAACAGGCAAAGTTAGCCTGCACCTTCATATAACCCCTGTTCTGAGCTTTCTCCTTCCCGCCACCTGGGCGGTAAAAGAGCGCTGGGTTTGAACCTGGCGCGGGAGCCCCGATGCTCCCACCTGGACAACGGGAGTGATCAGTGTACCCATTCCCTTTACAGGGCTGCGTGAGGATCAAAGGGTCAATGCGTGCTCAGCTCCGTGCGCCCAGCTTCTCGTGCTCTAGGTCTTAGAGTCTGGTGCTCTACGCTCTGGCCTAGGCACTCATCCCACTAATCAACATCTTGCCGACTGCGGCCCCTTTAAGTCCGCCTTGGAGGACCTAGTTTCAAAGCGAGGGCGACTCTCTAGATGCCACCTCGATGGTAACCGTCACTTCCGGTCTGGAGTGCGGGCGTTCCGCTCTTGCGCGAGTGTGGGCGTTATGTGGCGACGCGTCCTTTCTGGGAGCCTCGGGGGCCATCCGGTCGGCTCTGGCTAGTGGCGGTCCAGGCCCGCGGGGGTGACGCGTGCTTTCCACTGCCACGGGCGCCAGCCTGTGGCCTCGGTCCCCGCCCCGGGGGTTAACGAAACTCCGCCGAGGCGGGAACGCCTCCGCGGGGCCGGGGACCTCAGGGATGGCTTGCACCCTGGAGGCCGAGGGAACTTGGCCCCACGCGGACTCCCAAGGTGAGATGAGCGGTTGTAAGAGGCGCCGCAGCCGAGAGAGAAGCCTCGGGGAGCCCGGCCGGTAGCCAGTGCCGTCCCTGGGAGTATGGAAACACCGAATGAGACTTGTCCCCCTCCTTACTCTCTTTCTCCAGGGTGTTCTCGGAAAATGAGAAGTCGCCGGCCCCCAGCGTTCGGGCAGGGAGGGCACACAGGGTTATTGCCGCCTGCTCCTCCTCGATGATATTCGAGTGACCTCGATTTGGGGGAATCCAGGTACGTTAGCTTGGAAGCTAAGGGTCTAAGGCACACGGTCTGGCTAAAGGCTCCTGTGTTGCTGAACCTGCCCAGCGGCGGGTGCGGTGCGTACCAGGCAGCCCTACCCTGACCCAGAGTAAATGCCCGGCCTGGGCTTTGAATTTGCAGTAACAGGTGTGAACATTCTAGCAGCAGTTTGATGATCATGTATGATACTGCAAACACGACTGAGCGCGGAGAGCGGAAACTGTCGGGGTTTTCTGAACCCTGTGCACGGTGGACATAATACTTACCAGTGCTTCGGTGGTCCACCTGGCTAAGTGTTAAGGATACTGAGGAATGCGGGAGCCGTGGCCCCCGTTCTCCCCCAGCTATGGCCCAGTGGGAGAGACGAGGTCATGTGATCACAGTAGGGAGGGCGAGGGGAGCACAGTTTCCTATGAGAACGCGCCTCACCAGCAGCCTGATGCAGACTGGGACACATTCCTGAGGCCCCTGAGCTGGGCTCGGAGGGGTGCGTGGGAAAACCGGCCCTGCGTGTGTGGACACGCCCAGTGGTCTAGCAGGTGTGGCGGGCAGAGGTCCTGACAGGAAGCTGCTGCAGCTGTGGCGGGAACTGTGTGGGATGGAGCTTGAAAGGTAGGAGAGGGCCAGGCCACAGGGCGTCTTTCCTGAGGATGGGGGAGCATGTCATAGATTTTAAACCAGAGGGTGGTGTGCAAAAACCCACCATTTCTAAAGTGCTCCCTTTGCAGAAGGACGCCATCTGGCCTTCTGCAGTGATGGAGGCGCTCTATGTCCACAGGGTCCAGCAGAACGGCCACAGGCCAGGGGCTCATGAGCACTTGCAGGGCGGCTGGTGTGACTGCGGAGCTGGCTTTTCAAAGGTAATGTCAGCGGCGTGGCCGCCGTGGTGGACAGAGCACATTGGAGGGAGCCGTGGCCCTGTGCGGCATTCAGGACACACAAAGCTGCTTTTTCGTGTCGCCTGCACCTCACCCCTTCCTGGGGACAGCCTTCGGGTGACTGCTCCTGAGGATCTCGTGTACACAGCGTGGCAGCTGGTGGAGCAGCTTCTGTTCTCTGGGCTGTAGGTCGGCCAGCTCCCCGGGAAGCAGCATTCTTCCTCCTCCCCGCTTTGCCTGTGTTGTCGCCAGCACTCGGGTTGAGGGGTGACGTCTTCAGCACATCCAAGCACCCACCGGTCAAAGCATTACGCCTGTGCCTTGGAGGGGTTTAAAGAGCAGCGGTCCCTGGTGGTGAGGGACTTAGACCTAAAGAGGTAGGTGGCAGTGGGTGTTGGGATCATCAAGAAGGAGCACGTTCCGGGGACCCTTTAGGGTGGGGCCCTGGAAGCTGTTTCCAGCTGATGAAGCAGGAGACGAGAGGTGTGGGGGGCTCAGGAACTGGTGGCACGTTGGGGAGCCCATGGCTGGCGGAGGGGAAGAGAGATACAAGAGGGAGTGTTCGGTGTTGGGTAATAGGGGCCTTGTCAGACCCCGGTGTGTTGTGGGTTTGGTGCAGGCAGGTTTCTGAGGAAGGCAGGGGGATGGTGTGCACATGCCGGCCGCGGGGTGGGGTATCAGAAGCCCCCGATTGCCCCGACCAGCCCTGCGGGTTGGGGACCCCTGAAGACGTGGAAAGAGGAGGGGCTGACCAAAGGAGGATCATTTCAAGGCACCTTCCACACTGTATTCTGGGGGAGGTAGATTTTAGGTTTTGGAGGGGGCTTTGTGGCACCCCCAGTTGTGAACTCTCTGGAAGTTCAGGCTCGCTTGTGCGGGATGAGGGCTGACGGAGTGTGCTATCTTTGCAGGGAGTGCCCCGGATGGCTTGTGCAAGCGCCGAGGGAAGGTCTGCCGATGTCCTTTCTGCCTGGTCCTCCGTGTCCAGAAGGTTGCTGCTTCGTTTCAGGGCCTTCCGGGCGTGTTCGGCTTCACTGTGAACCACGCCATTGTTTAACGCTGACCCGTGTGAGACCCTGCTTCGTGTGGCTGTAAATAAATGGAGTCAGACTCCAGTGAGACTTTCCACACACTTGAATGTTTTCTGTGCCCAGTGGTTGTGTGTCTGAGTGTGTCACCTCTGCTTTGTAGGTGCATAGGTGGCAGCGCTGTCACCAGTGAAAGTGACTCACAGGGAATGAGTGAGAGTGCTGGGGCCTTGGCCATCCTTGGGAAGCATGAGCTGTCAGGAAATGGGGGCACACGGAGGGCGATGGCCGTCGTCTGGGTAGCCTGGTGGGGAGGGGCGGCCGGAATAGTTTCAGTTGGTTTCACTTCATCAGAAGGAGCACTTCATGTTAGATAGAATTGGCCTGGGAACGACCCCTGACCTCAGAACTGTCACTTGGGGCCCCCAGGCCCTCCCCCCTCTGATGGTCTCTGTCCTTCACCTGCATGGCTGACCCCGCGCCGACCTCTTCAGCCTGTACATAGGTCCATGCTTTGCTGCTGCACCAAGGGCGCCGCCAGCCCTCTGCAGGGGGAGCAGCTCCTGGCCTCAGCAGCCCTGACCCAGGGATTCATGGGGGACCGGAGCTGCCCGCCGCGCACTTGTGTCCCAGGGGCATTGCTGTGACAGAGGTTGTGGCCCTGGGGCCGTGGGTGGGCTGTCTACACGGACGGAATTCTTCCTTGTTCCTTTGATGGTCGGCTGTCTGTGAATGTGAACTTTGGTGATACCGGCTGTCTGGTCGTGGCCGCTCTCTTCGTGCTCGACAGGGCACTGCAGGCCCGAGGGTGGGTTGTGGGTGTAGGCTCAGGGCAGCATTGGGTGGGCTTTACAGGGGCTGGGCTTCCAAACGAACTCCAAGCGGAGGGGCGCTCAGCCCACAGGCAGCCTCAGGCCCACGGCAGCTCCAGCAGCCCCAAGAGTGGGCCTCAGCCCCGGCGGTCACGAGTGCCTGCATGCTCCACAGCCTGGAGAGTTAGTGGGGAACAGGTCCCAGCTCACCTCGATTTCTTCAGCAGAATGGGGACGACGAGGATGATGGCGATTCCCACCAGGTGGGCGCCAGGACAGGAGCGCTTCCTGTCGAGTGCTCAGGGCACTTCAGACACAGCAGTGACTCTCGTTCACTGGTTCACGTGCACCTGGAGTTTTCGGAGGGTTTGCAGCTGTGAACTTGGAGGGGCCGCTGTGAGAGAGTGCTGGGGTCTTGGGTGCTCTTTGCAGCGGATGGTGCCTGCCCGCTCCCAAGACCGGGTGTCTGTGGGCGCTTGGCCCCTCCGCCCCCCGTGGCTTTCACACCTGGGTGCCACCCCTCCTCTGCCTGCCTGGCTTCCGAGGGAGGAGGCGGAGCAGCTGCCTGGTAGGTGCCGTGTTAGGTGTGGCGTGTGCAGGGGCAACAGCCCACGCTGCCACTTCTGGAACAAATGGGTGCCCAGCGCCACCTCGCTCTCCTGTGTGGTGTTTTTCTTGCCCTCGGACGGCTGTGGGCAGGGCGTGTTCGTCTGGCCTGGCAGCCGTGGGCCCTGTGTCTGTGGTCACAGTCGGGCAGGCAGGTCAGCCTTCGGTTTGGTGGCTCATCAGAGGTGTTCGGGTGCCAGTCCCTCTGAGTGGCTGTGCTGTTTCTGCCGTGACACGGTTCATACTGAGATAGCCAGGTGTCGTTTACCTGCCTCTGCGGGGGAGAACCTGATCACCGAGGCGGGCCTGCTCGCCGCCCTGCTGTGGGCTGTTGGCGTCGGGCCTCCGCCCCTGTCTCCATGCCCACGGAGATGATGGGGGGAGGAGGCCCAGAGCCCATGGGGAGCCTCGGAGCCTTTCACGTGGCTGATGCCACCACGTGTGGCTCCTGGAATGCTCCCCAGCTGGCACCGGTGTGGTGGCAGCGTTGCATGTCTCCCCCAGAGACCACATGTTTAAAACAGGCTGTGGTGTGTCGCGGGTGGGCCTCGGTATTTACGGCATTTGTGCTTCTGGGTAATGGAGGAGGGTTGAGGCAGATGGGAGCTGTCTTTCTGAGAGCTGATGCTTTTCACGGCCTCAGCGCAGAAAGCAAAGTGTGGTCCCTAAGAAGTGCTGTTTCAATGTTAAGATTGTCTCACTGTTAAAAATTGCAATGGAACAGAAAAGGCCTAGAGCAGAAAACTTAAAAATGGAGCTAAACAGTTAGAGCAGGTCAAGATCTCCAGTGTCTCTCTTTGTCCACTAGAGGGTGCAGTCTTACACCGGACTGTGATCTCTTTTGTAGCTTGGTACAGAGTTGGGTTTTTGGGGTTTTTTTTTGTGTTTTAGCCAAGACCTTACTTCACAGGAAAGTCATGCTGGAAGTTTTTCTGTCGGGTTGGGCTCTTTCTTAGGAATCTGCCAGGGCGTCCCAGTCCCACACAGGTCCTGTTTTAGCCTTTGGTTTGGTGGCTCATCAGAGGTGTTCGGGTGCCAGTCCCTCTGAGTGGCTGTGCTGTGTTTCTGCCGTGACACGGTTCGTACTGAGATAGCCAGGTGTCGTTTACCTGCCTCTGCTTTCTCGCTTGCCGGAGCGGGAATGGACTGAGCAGGGTGCCTGAGTGTCCCCGACACCGCACGGGCCTGCTGGTCTCAGTGCCGTCACAGAGCACGTTCTGGTGACAACAGCCGGTGGTGTTCAATGTGAAGGATTTTCTTCGGCAAGAAGCTGGTGCCTCACAGGCCAGCGTGTGAAGTCCCAGCCAGCACGTTCATGGTTCACAAGGGTTTCGGGGCGGCCAGAACGTCGCTCATACGGAGGCTGAACCAGGTTTGTCCGAGCCCACGCAGCTCCGACAGCTGGTTGTCCCCTGCTAGGAAAGTGCTGTTGGACTGGGGCGGGGGCCGAGTCTGAAAGTGAAATCTTGGTGGGGTGTGGACGTCCCCTGGGTTTGGAGCCTGGTGCCAGCTTTCTTGGGGACAGGCCCTGAACCCCACCGTGCAGGGAGTGAGTCATGAGTCAGCCTGGAAAAGTATCGGAGGTTGGGGAACAGCCAGTCCGCCAGTGTGGAGGAGCATGAAGTAGAGGGGTTCGTGAGGAGAGCCGGGGGGGCGGGTCTCGCAGGGCCTTGCAGGAAAGTGACTTCCACGACGGGTGGTGTGAGTGGCTTCTTCTCACTCACCTCTCAGGGAGCGTTTCTGCCCCGGACACAGCAGAGGCTGCCTTAGAAGCATTTCCTGTCTGCCCGCGAATGTGCCCCTCGGGCCGGTCCCAGCTCGAGGCGTGGGCATGCGCTCTGTCCCTTGGCAGCTGCAGGAGGTTGCTCCGGGCTCTGTTGACTCCCAGCTGCGGTGAGTGACAAGGATAAACAACTTTGGATGTGACAGGTCACGTTCCTGCATCCGACCTTGCCCTTCACCTTGTACAAGGGGTGAAGCCAGGAAGACTGCCCCCTGCCAGCACGGGCTCCCTGTGGCCCAGAGTCACCCTGCTCTGCATTCCTGCCTGTGTCCCCCTCGAGGGGACTGTGCGCTCACTTGTTATTCCGGCAGAGGGGAGGCATGTTTGTTTAAGTCATTGAGACTACAGCCAGAGGCCCACAGAAAGCACATTCTGTAATCTTTACAAAGTAGAAGCCTGTTCTGGTTTTACCTGGTTGCACATGCTGAATGCGTTTAAAACAGTTTTTCATTCTAATCCTTTTTTCAGGGGAATTGTGCAGCTGCAGCAGAAAACTAGTTCTTTCTATGCAAATTGAATTAAAGTGGAGCCGCGTGAGTCATTGGAAGGTCAGGAAGGTCACGTGTCTCTTGGCCCGTCAGCCTCTTGGTCGCAGTGGTGACGCAACGCTGGTTTAGAATTGCAGCCACCTCAGCGGGGGCGCGTGGACCCGCGCCTGGGATTAGAATAGGACCCGCGCTTTCTTTGAACAACACACTCCTTGTAGCAAAGCAAGACTCCAGTCTTGAATGTCGATCCCACCGGAGGCTGCTGTGCCCAGCGAGGGTGTTTCTTCAAGCCCAGACTCTGCCGTGCGTGCATGTCCGCAGGAGGGGCTCACGGCCCCTGTGAGTGCCCTTGACTGGAGTGCCGTCTTCGTTCCAGACCCCTCGGCCTTTGACAGCTACCAGGGAGGGAACACGGGACACAGAAGTCAAAGGGAAGAAGGGTTTGTGTCCTCCAGTCGCTCATACTGTGTGTCAGCACTTCCTGGCGTCTGTCTGTCTGTCGCTTCCTTCCTGGGGCAGCAATGCGCTCGCTGTAAATGCTCCCGGGGTGAAGAGGCTGGCAGGGGACAGCCCCTGCTCCACCCACCCCTCTGTCCCATGTTCCTGCCCCACCAAGAGCCGTTTTCAGGTCGCGTCACTCAGTCTTCCAACATCACCCTCCTCCCTGCTTCTGAGTACAGGTACGGGCCACTCCTTTCGACTCTTCTCCAGCTTTGCCCACTGACTTCCTTTCCAGTGGGCCCAGGCTGAGCACCTCCTGTCCTCCCCTCCGATTCCCCTGCCCCCCCAGTAGTCCTATAGAGTGGTATCTGTCCCCTTCGCCCCCAGCCTTTACGTCACGCATGCACCAGAACCCCCAGCACCTTGCGCAGTGTGGCTGTGCTTTGCATTTCCTCCTTGTTCTCCCATACTGTCTCCCTATTCCTCGGCTGAGCTTTCTTTGAGCCTCTGATTCCTCCCACGTGTCCCACTGGCCTCGGCGTAACTGCCCCTGAGGCTGCCCACAGTGAGTAGCCAACTGTCCTGATTGTTCCTGAGAAGCAGGAAGGGAGACTCCAGAAGTTCGCTTACGGGTGTGTGTGCAAGTTCTGTTCTGACCTCACGGGCCGTGGAGAGGCCCCCACAGCCAACCAGAAGGGCGTTCTCAGTCCGGGGTGTTCCACAGGACTGCATGGAGGCTGGGTGGCCGTGCGTAGGCCAAGCACGAGAAGCCCGTGGCTGGCGGTCAACTGGTTTCCCAGAGAACTTGGAAACCGCGTCCGGGCTGCCAGTCTTACCCCAGAAGGCACGTGTGCGTGACATCAAGCAGGACAGGCGCAGCCCTGAGCCTGGCTTCAGCCCAACTGTTACTTCGTGGTCCCTCTTTTTGACCCACAGGTCTTAACCTGTCTGGGTTAAACACCTGACTT